TCTATTGGTTAGTTTTTTTCTTTTCTTCTATCTTATTTCTTTTAATTTAACCTTTACTTGTCTTTAGTTATAGTGGTTGTCTTTTCTTTTTTTTTCTTTTTTTTTTTGGTTTCATTTTTTTCTTCTAAGCCCTTTCTCCTACTTGGCAAAAGTTTCATTTTCGTGAATTGTCATTTTTTTCTGCATAATACCTTTTTTAAATACTGTTCTTTACCAATGTTCAAGTTGCGTAGTCAAATCATTCCATTCATTCATTAAAGATTCGTATATTGTACATACTGCGTGCATATTAAAAATAATTAATATTAGTAAAGTTTCATCAAACGCATCGTGGATAGGCCATGGGCCTCTTACAGCGCTTGTTCACCAGCATGTATACGTGAACAACCCCAACAAGTTCAATTACACAAATAAAATTATGTATAAAATTAACGGAGAACAATCTGAATAAAAAGAACCATAGCGTTGCCTTGTTTATGGTTTCACAGATAGAAAAAAGTATTAAAAGAACATAAAGGGTCAGTCCCAAGGGAAAAAAAGAAAACGATATCAGAAACACTTCCATATCTTGTAATTGAATTAATATTAGTATTAAAGTCACTCAGCATTAATACATGATCATGCAATCGACTTTGGAATCGTATATGCGCATTTTTTTTTCAAAATCAGAATTATAGTACATAAAAATCAAATAATTAGGATCATTCATAAATAAATCGGTCATATGCGCAGAGTAGATATTATTATTACTTCCCACTGGGCAACCAAGGCTCCAGTAAGGAAGGAGTCAAATCCGAAAACTCATCTCGTGTTTCCTGAGTGGAGTTATGATTTGGGATTTGAGTAAAAAGATCGTTTAACTCCTGAGTGTCCAAAGTATTTGTTGAGAATAAGTCTCCCATTAAGGGTTCAACATCTAAATACGACTTTTCTCTGACAACATTATCATACTGAGGTGTCTGAAATGGATCAAGGATAGAATACCTAGAGGTTGGAGATGAAAAGTAACCAGATGCACCACTATTCATACGGCTTGCATTTGGTCCCGGAGTATAATATGGAGTACCATAGGTGTCTTCATTGTCTGTACCGACAGATGAGACACCAAAATTTCGAATGCTAGAGGGCGTCTCAAAGCTACCTGTTTCAATCCTTGGTTCATGCAAGTTTGTAGGAGGAGGCGTTTTGGGACTAGAATCAACTTCATCCACCATGGAAGGCCTTCTCGCTCCTTGCAATGATTCAATAACTAGCTGGTCACAAGCGGGATTTTCGGACCTGGGATGTTGCATAGAATAAGAATCACCTGATGCCAAAAAATCTCTGGAAGCATCATCAGCGTCTGGGATAGAGTCTGACGAATTAGACAGTAAAAGAGACGCATCCTTTGAGTCATTGATAGACAAGGATCGCTTCAAAGGAGGTGCAACATTGGGAAACCACGCCTCTGTAGGAGGTTGGAATAGAGACTTTGTTCGCGCCAAGGGGAATGGGTGTCTGTGGAAAGTGAGGGTATCTTGCAAAGGTTCAGCAGAATTCTGGACAATACTGGAAGAGGCAGTGGGTAACGAGGAAGGTAACGATAAGTTTCGAACCATGGGTGACGAAAGCGTAGAAGTCGAAGCGTTATCGGAATCGTCCGCCGCATGGACATTAATGTTATAGTCTGCCAATTTGTAAACTTGTTGTGCCAAATCAACCGGAATGTTCTTGTCAACAGTTCCCGCAGCAAGACGGCTTTCGTTCACACGAGACAAAACAGAAGCAGTATGCTCGCTAGAAGCAGAATATGTGGAAATTTGTTGTAGGATACTTAGATCTGTTTGAGGACGAGAACGTGTACTACTGGGTTTCCTTTTAGACCTACGGCAAGCACGTTTCTTTGGCGTATATTTGTATTCGGGGTTTTGAAGCATGTGCTTTTGCCGTTCCAAGGCCGATAGCTCAGCGTAATAACGCTTTACCTGGGCACTTTCGTTTCTCCACAATTCGCCTATTATTCGAGAAATACTCTGATGGTTAGTCGTGGGAATCTCCAATTGGCGATCACGTCTATACAGCATGAAGCTGTTCAAGGGTCGCTTAATCGAACTGCTTTTTGAATTAGTAGGTGGGGGAGAGCTCATTGTACCAATAAAGTTAAGGTAAAGTTATTCACAAACCGAGAAAACTTTCACCACGTAGAATATGGATATGATAATAAATTCAAACAAAATGAAAACGACTGTCGAATCAAACAAAAAAGGCGCAAAGCTCCTTATGTCGAAAGTTCGGAAGAAAAGGAGTAAAAATTTAGTAGTGATATCAAACACTAGCCCAAAGCGATAGCAGAAATGAGGATATCCAATGAATAAAAGAAGGGTATGCAGAATCTAAAAACGATGCGCAGCAGATTGATTAAAAAATCGAATGGGAGGATAGCAATTCTCTACCCAAAATTCCTACAAAAATACGAAAAATCACAAAAGGTCAAAATTGTACACAGATACAACCAGGTGCACAGTCAGCAAAAGATAAAAAAAAAAGACGGTGGGATATCCTAGTACACACACACGGAAGAGAAAGAGAAGAGAGAAAAAGAGAGAAATTCGATCTAAAGACCAAAAAAAGAAGGAAAAAAACGACAAGAATCTAAGAAACCAAGAAAACAAAAGTAAACAAATAGCAAGAAATATAAAATTAAATGTGTTTAAATGAACATGAACCGATTACAAATTCAAGCAAAAGGAAAGAAAAACCGTAATAAGGTATAAGCGGTAAACGGTAGATTTTGCAATTAGTTTTAAAGATTGACAAGAAAAGGTTCTATTGAAACCAATTGAATACTAAGCCACCTAAAAGAACAATAAAAGGTGATGAATATAGAAATTAACCCTTACAAAGAAACAAATAGTATGAACGCGACGATAGTACACAGACAGATGAAACACTAATAGTTTTCACACACAATCAGTTGGACACGACACACTAAGAAATACTCTGACAATAGAAAAGGATCCCGTAAAATAAAAAGAAATGTCAAAGAATCGTAAGCGCCGACAAGTAATTTGGATGAATGCTAGTGCTAAGCGAAAACAAAGAAACTTACAGGGACGAAACGACAACGAAAATCGATGAATATGAAAGGACGAAAACGTGCAGTGCCAATTGAAAATATGGAAAAGTAATTAGTGAGATTATGGACTAAGGAAAGAAAGGAATGGGGGGAGACAGTCCAAGAACAAAGAAAAGGATTGGGGTATATATAACCGGCATATTTAAGGAGACAGAGCGATAGAAGGGACAATGAAAGCAACAACGAATAACAAGAATAACAAGAATAGCAAGAAAGCAGCTTAGGTTTATCAGAAGGGGTAATCATAGTCCTTGGGTCTAAGTGGACAAACCCCTGTCTTAATGGAAGCAAGGGTAAGACGGCACTAACGAGCCAATCGTTGAAATAAGGAACGTAAGCCAAGGGGCTTGAGCATAAGAATCGAGGATATGCGGTTACAAAACTATCACGAAACTAATTTGCGGATGAGTGATTGAATGACGAGATTGAGGAGATTATACGAACTTTAAAGTGGAGCAATCTACGTCATACTAAACAGAGAGGGGACGAGCAAATCAGTGAAGGACGGGAACAGATCCAGAATATCGGGGAACAAAACAATGCCGTATAATTGGAAGAATTAGACAAGCAACACGCGCACATTCAAGTCCTTAGCGAGATTGTTGTTACTTTTTTTTTTTTATGCGGGGTACACTACCGATGAACTTCCCATTCACGTAGTCTGGTCCTGATGAGAATAAAGGAGGCTGTGTCAAAAGTTCATCGCTTGAATGGTATCAAAGAATAGATAAAATTTGGGTTACTTGGGTTACGATATTTCACAATGATTTTAAGGATTTGACTCATAGACGAGTAGACAAATGATTCCTAAACAACTTTTTTCTTTTGTGAATGTCTGCGTATCTGTCCCGTCTTGCCTTTTCTCGGTATTCATACGGCAGGTACGTTCGCGTTCGTTATCAAACATTGAAAAAAAACAGGAAGGTAAAGCACAATAATTTATATTACGAGGTAGTACGAATATGAACGAGCATAGTAGAAAACGAAAGCGAGAAGCTTATATTCTCTCAAGGAAAATAGTACAAGAAACGGAGACTAGATTTTTCTAATTTATCATTATTATTGTTAATTTTGTTACATTTTCTATTAACGTTTCCTGAACAAACAGAGAAAATCGAAAACCGATTTTACATTGAACTTATGAACGTAATACAAGCAAAAATATAAAAAAATATGTACCGACTGAATGAAAAACTCTTTATTTTTAGTGATTTGACTCGCGTTGATCTTGCCAATGGCGCCAACGCATGCGCATTGCATTCAAATCATCCAGCGCTGGGCGAACATCCAGAGAAAATACTGGCTGACCGCCATCATCTGGTGCCTCGTAATAATCAATTATATAACGTACAATCTGATTATCTTTTCGTTGAACATACCAATCATGCCTGTCAAACGGACCTTCACTCGTACCCCAGCGACCAGGAAACATACGTCCAAGCATCATATACCACATGGCTCGGGGACTCTTTTTACTAGCATTACCTTCAAATCGCAATAATTTGGGGTCTGTATTTTGTCCGCTTGACTGCTCCCAGGCTTGGATCTCTTTCCATGCACCCTCGTTCAAAAAATTGTGAATTTCTACCATCATGGGCACATTCTCACCGCTATCACGGTATCCCTTCCGCCACATGGCATTATACATCTGCTGTGGCGAGGGGTACTTCCATAAGTCTCCGTCTGCTTTTGGGATGCTACTCGTGGACCGGTTCGTACCCAAATTTACCACTTGATCTCTGGTTGCCTTTTGTGATATATCTTTGTACATCAAGTTATCCGGATTCATCTCGGAGGAACCACCCTCTTGCTTGCCCCATAACCAGCTAGACCAGCTTTCCTTAGATGAGGTGCCTTGTGACATGGGACATTCAGAGGGATATGTTTGTCGTTGCTGTTGTTCATGCTTCGGCTGTTCACGCACTTCCACGGGCTTCAAAAACGAAAACCAAGACGAGCTTTCCTCGCTGTTATTCTTTTGTTTGGACATAGGACATTCCGAAGGAATTGTTTCCATTTCCGGAGCGACCGCAATTGTACCTTTGTTTTCTCGAACATCCTGTCTCCATCCAAACCAAGATAATGGTCCACGTTTCTTATCCGCTTCTTCACGCTGGGCATGCATGGGGCATTCTGGAGGAATCTGTTGAGAATTCAATTCATTAGTGCGACTTTGTCCGATTGTTGACTGTGAAGTTGGTCCCACGGGCGCACTAGTGGTCCATAAAGTTTTCAACCACGATGACCAATTATCAGTATCTCGTGGCATCTCTTGCTGCTGTTGCTGTGTATATGCGCGATGGTCAATGGGACACGACCTTGCGTTCGGGGATTCTTGGTCACTCATTTCAGAACTGGGTATGTGTGGATTTCAAAATGACAGATTCAGCGAAAACGAAAAAAACCTAGAAATCAGAGATGGGAGGAACAGGAAAGAAAAAAAAATCGGTTAAAATTACGAAAATTGGGTCCAATTTCCTGTGCGATGAGAAAAATTCTCTTTTTTATACAAGACGCATTCGTGTGGTGACTTTTCAACAGATTCGCTCTGCTCTGTTCTTTTGCAAGCATCAAAAAATAATGGACCCAAACGCGCTGCAAAATGAGTGGATTGCGTACCGTAAGGAAATGTACTGCTTTGGAACGTCTCAATAGGAACCTTCCTTTTTTCTAGGATAACGTATGGCAACACGGTGCATTAGTAAATGAAAAGAACGAGCGAGCAATTGATCAAAGAAGCAATGATACAGTGGTACATTATTATAGGAGTTTCTTACCTTTTTTTTTCTTGCAGGAAGTCCGTGAACAGAAGAAACATGGGAATCAACGATCAACTCCATTTCTTCGCTTTCCAATCATAACCAGATCATCTTCGCTTATGGCTTGCATGAACACTCCCCGCAAAAAAGGAAAAGTAAAAAGATATTTTGTGGTTTTTATTCCTTTATGGGCCAGTTTGTGAAGTGTTTCAAGGTCATTCACTCTTCGCATCGTTGTTAGCGATCTTGAAATAGCATCTTGACTATTGAATACCGACCATTTCCCTGCGCTAAAGTCCTCCCATTTATAAACACTTAAAGTCGCTAAAGTCATGGTTAACGAGGCCACCAATCCTTTAAACAGCGAAAATCGGCTCCCATCCCCTTGCAAAGTAGGAAAATGAAAAAATAACTTCCAAGTTGTTTTGAAACTGATTTTCGTGTACTCTGTTTATGGAAATTTTTCTTTCTCTTTCTTTCCTTTACTCATTTATTTTTTTTCTATTTGGACCCCGTGCTTTTTGCACTTTCACTGTTTTTATAAGTAACATCAACATTCCAATACAGACATTCCCATATATGCCTTTTTTCTAGGTTCCTTCAAGTTCACCAGCCGAAAGCAATATTCTCTTACGAAGTGTTATGCATTCGTTATAATTATCTCCTTCGGAGCAAAAGAATCTCAACCATCCGACAACCTCCTCTTGAAAGTACAACCTGCTTAATTCGGTCTTTTAAAAGGTCTTTTGATTCGGGATTTATTACTTGGTTCTACAACATACCGCTCCCCTTTTGTAAAATCTTTGACTGAAGGACGGGTATTCGACAGGACTTTGCTTTTTCGAACACTTTCTTTAATTCTTTTTTGGCTTTTTTTGGTTTATATAATCTAAATTTCGAGTTGTATTTTGCAAAACTTTCTGTACCTTTTTCTATAAACCGTAGCTTTTGCTCTCTTATTCATTCATTTTTACCATGCCTGAAGCTAAATTAGCAGCCCATAGCGAATTCCAAAGGATTAGGGATGACCCCAGTTATATCCTCTTGCAGCCATATAAATCAGAGGAGAACCGATCGTTGATCGCCAACTATGTCCGCCAACAAGCCCTTGCTTTTTGCCCTTACTACTATGTCGAAAAGTCCGGCAAGGGCTCTGTCACTTTTTTCTATCCTACTGAACTACTATGTGGTTACAGAAACATTTTACACGGAGGATTCATTGCTTCTATGCTTGATGAAGCTTTGGCTTTCGGTATTTTCGGTAACTTTGCATCCCGCCTAGGCGTCACTGTTCAACTTGATGTAACTTATGTGGCCCCTTCTCTGTGCTCAAACCTTTATAAAGTGGTGTGTAACACTAGCAAAGTGGAAGGAAGAAAGGGTTGGATATCCGGTGAGCTCTATCGCCTCACTGAAGGTGAAGAGCCCATACTATGCGCAAAGGGTTCTGGCTTCTTTATTGAACCTGCCAAACTCAATTTAGAGAAACATTTGTAAATGAGAATCATAAATATCCTTCCTCGTGTGATTCGATGGCTTTTGTTTATTGTTTTTCTTGCTTTTCTGTTTCCTTATTATGTGGTTCCTACAGGTCATACATCGATGTAAGTTTAACAAGACGGAGCTCTTCTTCTTTTGGTTTTTTATATTCACGGACAACCAACCCATGTAATTGTTTCCTTGTTTAATGAATATCAGAAAAATTCATCAACCAAAAATTGATTGGATTCATTATCCTAACTCTAAAGTAATCCGTTTTTCCCTAGTAAAAGTCGTCAAAACAGTAAGTAGTCTGTATCGACATTGTCTGCTCAATTTAGTGTACCAAGCGAATATCCACTTTTTGTTTTCCTGAATGCTCATCACGTACTGTTCCTACACGCACACGCACTTTTTGAAACATTTGAACTTCAACAATCTTTGGTTTCGGTGGATCTCGAATTTCAACTTTGAGCATATACTTATCTTCCAAAAATTCAACATTTGGCTCCAACATGTTCGTCATGCTCTTTGTGTATACAATACCTTCAAGACCAAATTTGGCAATAAATACAACAAAACCATTCTTAAAAACCTTAATTACATATGCATCTTCTTCAGCAATGCCTCCTTTGAGCGCCTGTCCAACATAATACTCAACACTAGCACGACCTGCCATTTGCGCCATGCGATGTCGATAATTTATTCCATTGCTAATTTCAATCAAGCGTTGTTTGTCACTGATTGAAGGATGCAGCACTTCGTAGTCAATAGCTGCAGCCAGTTGTCGATGTGCCAACACGTCTGCATAACGACGAATAGGCGAAGTAAAATGTGTATAAATACTCGTCGCTAAACCATAATGGCGGAAATCGGGAGCTGCAATCGTACCAGAACAGAAGTATTCGGCGGATAACATACAGCGCGTTGTCAAGATACGCAGTAAGGTATTAAAGTAGGGTTCTTTGGGATCCACACACTCATCCAAAGATTTTGCCAAAGCCTTTGATGTATCACATTTAAGATGCATTCCCTTGCAAACTTGCAAAATATCCTGCAAGGAATCAAAGTTTGAGAGAGGCGGTGCTGCGTGTCGACGGAGAACAGCAGTTTGAGGAAATGTGTCGTAAATTTTTTGAGCAACAGAAATATTTGCTAGTAACATAAACTCTTCGACAAGAGAGTTAGTTTCAAGAAGTTGTTTAATCTCAACATCCATGGGATCCGATGTTTCGCTATCTGTTTGAATTCGCACTTCAGGACTCGCCAAATTCAAAGCACCCTCATCCATTCTTTTTTGTTTTATCTTCTTAGATAGTTTTAGCAAGATACGCATGCTTTGAGTTAATGGATCTTGCATTTTTTCATCATCAATCCGAGCTTGTGCATCCGCATAACTGAATGCATCTTTAGAAGCAATTACAGATTTCGTAAATGAAACGTTAACGACATCAGCATTTTCGTCCATCTCCCACAGACATGAAAATGCAAATCTTTCTACGTATGGACGCAAAGAACATAGATCAGTACCCAGTAGCATAGGAAGCATATCAATACGTTTATCAACTAAGTACACAGTGGTACCACGAGAAGCAGCCTCATTGTCCATGGCCGTTTTCGGCTTTACAAAGTGAGTAACATCAGCAATGTGCACACCAACCTCAAAGTTTCCATTAGGTAAGACACGTGCATGAAGAGCATCATCAATATCCTGACATCCAGGGGGATCGATACTGCAAATCAAAAGATCCCGAAGATCTTTTCTATTTTTCCAAAGGGGATCAGACTTGTCCTCTGGTACCTTGTAATTATGACCTTCTTGAGGAAGACAATCCAATACTGCTTTAGGGAATGGTCGGTGTTGTACATCGTATTCAAGTAGAAGTGCCTCTGTTTCGGCTTCTTTGGTTTCCATTTCACCAAGAGCACGTACAAAGTGGCCTTCAGGATAACGACTAGTAGCCTCCCAAGTGTCGATAGCAGCCACAATTCGCTGCCCAAGCAGTCGAGGGGCTTGTCGGGTGCGAAAACGAATCTTGGGAATGCGACGATCCATGGGGGTTAGGAGTACTGTTTGCTGAGAACCACCTTTAGATTGGGCTACAGTGGTATTGTCAACGTGTCCAACATAGGGTCTCCAATTCCGTTTCAAAATACCAACAATCTTTCCAGTAGGATGAGCTTTCTTACTGGTGGGAGTTTCCAGATCAATGCTACGAGAAGCATCAGGCTCAGCGGAAGCGTTCACTAGCACATCTTCGTCATCGCTAGCAATTTCTCCCGCCTCGGACTTCCACTGACTTTGGGGTAAAATTTGAACACACACAACATCACCTTGAACAGCACGGTTTAGGTATTCTCTTCCAGAAATCAAAATCGGCTTATTGAATCCAGGAACGTTGATAGAGCCTTCAAGGAAGTTATAAGTGCTAACATTCAGTACACCTTTATGAACTTCGCCATTTTTTATACATGTCAGCATGCGAGAAGTAGACCAATGAGGATCGTAGATTGCCTTTGTTTCGGCAGCAGCTTTCTCATTAGCAGCAGTAGCGTCTGCAACTGCAGATATCATGTCCAACAAAACCTCGAAGTCCGGTAAATATTGAACATAGTCCTTCAAGGTAGAAGTCTGTATACCCTGTTCAGCAGCGATCTCTGCATTACGGCGGTCGTTCGTGATTAACACGACTTTAAGCCCTAATCCAGCTAAGTGGCCAGTAAACCAAGAAGCTGCAGCACGGATGGCTCTATCATTGCGGTCATTTGGTGACTCGCCCTCTAATTTATCTATATACGTTTCCGAAAAAAATTCGTTACTAAAGGGGGTAAAGCGTTTTGTCTTTTCTTGACACAGACGCTTGATACGGTTGTAAAGAGGAATTGACTTGGAAGCAATTTCAGAAAGAACCGTCTGTAAAACAATCACATCGAAAAAGTTAGAAGGATGTTCCAAAGCATCCATACAATGGTAAAAAACATTTGTATCAGGAATCAGGTAGTGACGACCGAACTTTTCTAAGAAGAAGGGTTCTTCTGATAGTATGGGCTCCAATGCATTACCGTTGGAATCGGTTGGAAGCTTAGAAAGACATAATGGGCAGCTTTTACTTTGACAAGGAATATCATCACGTAGATATCGTTCGCGAACTATTTTTTGAACCTTACCGCGCGCAGCTCGTACAAAGACCTTTGGTTTTTGATCTTTCGTAGCGGAAGATGAAGGCCGCTTATAGCCAATTGCACTCATCTTCCCGTTTCTTTAGCTGTCGCTGATTTAGTATACGTTGGTGAGAACAAAAGTAAGAGGACACACAGTATGACCATGTTTATTTAGCGATTTTGAGCGTATGCGTTCTACTAGTTTACGCACTACAACGTTGCTGCATTGGAATCGGTGAGAGCTGAATAAATTTTGAAACATAATATAATATTGTTATAGGAGAAATCGAAAAATATCGTATTAAGAAAGATTAAGGGTTTAAGATGAACAGCAATATCACGGCAGAAACCTCACACTTTATGAGAATGTTTATCGAGTGGAAGTAATAATTACAATTATAGGACTGTATGCTTCAGTTGGACGACTTGGTACTACGTAGAAGAATAGTATCTGATCGACTAAACGAAATGTGTGTACAAATGGTAAACAATTAAAAACGAAATACAGAAATTAAGATACGAATGATCGGAGAATAAAGACCCGTATACGGTTGATTGTCTATTGATGAAATCTATTACTTGACTTGATTAACAAAACTACATATACTCATGTGTCTACAGTCAGAATCTTCAGATTGGAAGATTCGACTGGCAAGACTAAATAAAATCATGGACTCACTTTCAATTTAGATGTCTCAGTGGAATTCTCGAGATAGAAGAGTTCTCATCCGATGAGGCAAGTAGTGGTAGTGTACTTTATAGTTGTAATAGTGTGAATGCTCAAAGGTTATATACACAGAAAAACTCAAATACAATTAGAAATGGTTTCACATTAAGAAGTAAACTTTATTCGTTTGCAAGTAAACCACATCTTAGTTGATCTTGTCAACATATCTATTCTCGAAAAAACTGCAGACATTATATAAGTCGTTCCCCATCTTCCAGCAATGGTTGATTTTGAACTACAAAGATTAAAGTTTTCCTGCTAAAATGAGTAAGAATTTTTTACGAAGCTGATTTTATGCTTACAAATGTAGATGAAGAAGAAGAGATGGATATTGAAACGAACTATTCGACTTCAGTTCATGAACCTGAAGCGAGCTTTGATACAGATAAAACCGACACCTCTACATTGGACGAAGAAAAAGTACGCAGACCTTCCCTTACTTTACCTGAGGAGGACCGGGAGGGCTCAGTATCTGGATATGAATCAGCAGAAAAACCTATGGCAATAGAAGAGCCTGTCGTGGCTCTCCCGGAAAGTAAACATATAGATCCAAAATATAATTCGGAAAGAAAAGACCTTACGTTAGAGAAAACCGGTACAAATTCGGTTATTGATAAGTATGGACGACTTGCTGACGGTTTGGAATATAAGGCTAAAACCTTTTGTTTGAATGGCAGAGGTGAAGTATTGTATATGCTTGGAACAGAATGTGCAAGAATCTTGGGATTTAAGGATAGTTACTTCATGTTCCACAAAACCCCAAACTTGCGCAAAGTTTTGACGACCCAAACTGAAAGAGATCAACTCATTTACATGAGAATCCTTGCTCCAAAGTATCGGTTTCGTCAACTAAGCATCGTTCCAGCAAGGCAAATGTTTCTCGCATTTGGCCCCAAAATACTAATGAAAGGAATTATTGATCCTGAACTTCATAAAGATATCTGGAATGCAAATTGGTCATGGGCTGATGAGGAATTTTCCCATTTAGATAATTCAATGCTCAGCAGTACTCGATCATCTTCTGTAAAGCCCGAGACAAGATCAATAGATCAGACAACACCTGGTTTCGGGGAGAGTTTTCAAGAGAGATATATACTTGCTTTAGCAAAAGATGTATCAGATTATAATACGTCTTTGGGAAAAATGAGAAACTTTAGGCGAGATGCGCTTCGCTACTTTTACCAACAAGCCCGCTCTTCGAAGGCAAACTCATAAGGGCAACCAGAAAAAACGGTAGTAAATTACATTTGCTACGAATTTTTATACTTAATTCTATTTGTACATTATAGTGATACTTACTTTTGCTGGAATTCAGATCATCATACTAGTATTTCATTGATTTGTTGGTGTTGAAACTTCAAAGCTACGCATCTTTCATTGTCCTGAGTGGAATCTTATCTAAATCATATAATAGCATTTATGTATCGAATAAGTTTTGCAGTGACTATTGACCGTTTCGTGTCTCATTTGCGAATAACTATTTACCCTTATAAACGTTTCGTTCAACCTCTTTCCACAGTAAAAAAAACTTTTTACAAATTTAATAAAAATAAAAATAAAAAAATAAATGAAGCCTAAATGGAAATTGAAACAATTTTTTTCCTTACACGAGATGGATAAGTGACAATTGTTACCGGGACCGAGTATAGTGGTGGTGACCTCTGCGAGAAAAGTTGGATTCAGCAAAACCGGTGTGTGAAATTTGCAATTTTAAAATTTGTAAATCACTATGGTTTCGATAAGTAAGTTGTTAAAATAAATGACAATGAAACTAACAAATAAACAGGAAAAAAGAGTAAAAGAAGGACTACTCGTCTTCGCGCCAGAATTGAAAAAAGAGCCGCTAGCTCTCGTAGAAAAGAGAGAAAATTAGAGAAGAAAAATCCTCAATGGAAGAGCAGAATCCCAAAGGACCCTGGCATTCCCAATTCCTTCCCTTATAAAGATCGGATTTTGGCAGATATCGAGGCGCAAAAGCGACAAAGAGAAGAAGAAAAGATTGCCCGCAAAGAGGCTGCCAAGTCAGAGGGAGATATGGATTCAGACGAAGATAGCGAGATGGAGGAAGAACGAGCTGATGGCGTTGATCCCATGATTGCAAAGATTGCTGAAGCAGCACAAGCTAGAGATTCCGAGGAACAACAAGCCGAGGAAGAGGATGGTGTTATTATGGATGAAGATGATGACGACAATACTCCTTCTTTAGTTGAGGATGACTCTCCGAACACTTCTGAAAGGATTGTTAAAGGTGACACCTCTAGAAAAGCATTTGATAAGGAGTTTAAGAAAGCAGTCGAACTCTCCGACATTGTTCTGTATGTCTTGGATGCTCGTGATCCTGAAGGAACACGTTCCAAAGAAGTTGAGCAACAAGTAGTGGCTTCTGCGGCTGAGGAAAAGCGTCTCGTCTATGTCGTCAACAAGATTGACTTAGTCCCTCCTGAGGTGTTGGACCGCTGGCTCGTTTACTTGCGCGCTCACTTCCCTACTCTTCCTTTGCGTTCTTCTTCTGGATCCTCTGGCTTTAAACACAAGACATACTCTGCCAATGGCACTATCTCCGCTTTATTGAAGTCTCTCAAGTCTTATTCTTCTAAGAAGAAGCTTAAGAGCTCTTTGACAGTTAGTGTCATTGGCTATCCTAATGTGGGTAAATCATCTGTCATTAACGCTCTTGTCAATCGATCTGCCGTTTCTCGTTCTACCCCATGCCCAGCCGGTAGCGCTGCTGGTATGACTAGATCTTTACGAGAAGTTAAACTGGATAGCAAGCTGCGTTTAATTGATAGCCCCGGTATTGTTTTCCCAACAGCCAGTAAGGAAGATGAACATTATCGCTTAGTGTTACTGAATGCGATTCCTTCCTCCAAAATTGATGATCCAGTTCCTGCTGCAGCCTACATTCTTAACTATCTCAATCGGATCCCTGGTCTACTTGAGCGAATGCTTAGTCAATATGAGCTCCCTCCTCTATTGAATACCTCTGAGTTGGACACTGCTACTGACTTTTTGGTGAACATTGCCCGCAAGCGTGGACGTTTATCTCGTGGTGGTATTCCCAATTTGAATGCTGCAGCCAGTATTATTGTTAATGATTGGCATGCAGGACACATTCAATGGTGGGCTGAACCTGAAACTACCACCAAGGAGACTTCTGCATCAGATGATAAGCAGGTTGTTTCTCAATGGGCTAAAGAGTTTGATATTAATGAATTGTAAAAATGGGGGTGCGTGCAATAAAACTAAATATTTGACTTTGTCTTTAATACGCTTTTTTGATGGTTATTTATAGGTTCGATTTTATGTGCATGCCGAGGTTAGGATAATTTGGGTTTCTTTGGTTTCACATTATTTCCTCAAGAGGATAGATATCGGATTTTTGTCTTGAAAAAATAAAAAATCCATTTTGCTCATTATACTATAAACGGTTAAATTGGCGATTGTATTCTGATAATATATATATATATATATATAACGTGGTTTGCGACTTAGGATTGTAGGTAGTAGAAAGTAGATGAGTCTATACTGAAAATCTTTTTAAACTGTTTATTCTAAAATCATGAGAATATATAAACCATTGTATCGTCAATACTCAATAATGATACATTTGAAGACTCGAACATCTCAAAGCCAAGTAAAAAACGTAACAGCACTTCGTCTTTCCTAAATAATATGAAGTCTTATGAAAGTCAAAAAAAAAAAAACAAAAGAAAAGAAAAGAAAAGAAAAGATATTTTAAATACAAAAATTCAATTTAGCCATTCATGTAGTTAGAAAAGACAAAGTGTTTCAGACCATGATTGAAATGGTACATACATACATTTTCATAAATCTTCTTTATTAGAAAATAATAAATTTTATTCATTTATTTAAAATAGGCTGCTTATCGCTTATTCCGAATTGTTTGGTCTGCTATACCAAATCGGTATGGTGCACCAAACCTACCTACCACCAAACCAATATCAAAACAAAACTCAACCAAAATTACATAGATGCGTGAGATTGTAAGAGAAGTTTTATTAATAAAACTAACTTGTTAGGTTCATATTCAAGCTGGTCAGTGCGGTAACCAAGTTGGTGCTTCCTTTTGGTATGAAAAAAGCTGGTTGACAAGGAAAACCAATACTAACCCGGAAAAAGGTCCCAAATTGCCGATGAACATGGATTGGATGCTGCAGGAATGTATGTATTTAAAGACATTTGTTTTCGAACAGAAAGTAACCATTGAATAGCTGTCGCGGTACATCAGATGAGCAACTTGAACGGCTGAACGTTTATTTTAATGAGGTATGCTTGGAATCATTGAAGACGCGTTTGTATTTTCCATACCTAAATAGCGTCTTTGAATGAAACAGAGTAGGATACATTACTTACCGCTTTATAGGCTGCTGCTGGAAAATATGTCCCTCGCGCTGTTCTTGTCGATTTAGAACCCGGTACCATGGATGCTGTTAAGGGAGGAAAGTTTGGCAATTTATTCCGCCCTGACAACATTATTTATGGTCAATCTGGCGCTGGAAATATTTGGGCCAAGGGTCACTATACTGAGGGTGCTGAATTGGCCGACGCTGTTTTAGATGTTGTTCGCCGTGAAGCTGAAGCTTGCGATGCTCTTCAAGGTTTCCAATTGACTCATTCTTTGGGTGGTGGTACCGGTTCCGGTATGGGTACCTTGTTACTCTCAAAGATTCGTGAAGAGTACCCCGACCGTATGATGGCAACCTTCTCTGTTGCTCCTGCTCCTAAGTCTTCGGATACTGTTGTTGAGCCTTATAATGCTACTCTTTCCATGCATCAATTGGTCGAAAACTCCGATGAAACCTTCTGTATTGATAATGAAGCTTTGTCTTCTATTTTTGCTAATACCCTCAAAATTAAGAGCCCTTCTTATGATGATCTCAACCATCTTGTCTCTGCTGTTATGGCTGGTGTCACCACTTCTTTCCGATTCCCTGGTGAGCTAAACTCTGACTTGCGCAAGCTGGCTGTTAACATGGTTCCATTCCCTCGTTTGCATTTCTTTATGGTCGGTTTTGCTCCCCTTGCTGCCATTGGATCAAGCTCTTTCCAAGCAGTTTCTGTACCTGAACTTACTCAACAAATGTTTTCTGCCAATAACATGATGGTTGCAGCTGATCCACGCCATGGTCGCTATTTGACTGTTGCCGCTCTTTTCCGCGGTAAGGTTTCAATGAAGGAAGTCGATGAGCAAATTCGCTCTGTGCAAACTAAGAATTCTGCTTATTTCGTTGAGTGGATTCCCGACAATGTTCTTAAGGCTGTCTGCTCCGTACCTCCCAAAGATCTCAAAATGTCTGCTACTTTCATTGGAAATAGCACATCTATTCAAGAAGTCTTTAGACGCTTGGGTGACCAATTTTCTGCCATGTTCAGAAGAAAGGCTTTCTTGCACTGGTATACTGGAGAGGGTATGGATGAAATGGAATTCACTGAAGCTGAGTCCAACATGAATGACCTTGTCAGTGAGTATCAACAATACCAAGAAGCTGGTATTGATGAAATTGACGAAGACTATGAAATTGAAGAAGAGAAGGAGCCTCTTGAATATTAAACTTTTCTGCTCCCGTTTAGGATTTTCTTACTTACCATCCATAATTTAACTCGTGTGCTCATCTCAACGTTCCCATTCATATTTTATATAACTTTTTCATTTATTTACAATTACTTGTTGTTACCTGCCTTTTCCTTTCTTTTTTATTGATATTGGACCATGTTTGCGTTGAACGCTCGCTCTTTTTCTCTTTTCATTTTCAAAGATGTCGTTCACTTACTCAACATAGCTTCAGCCATTGTCTATCTAGGTAAATCTCATTAAAAATATACCGTTTGTTGGTGTTTGATGCTATAGAATTATGTTTTTGTTAAATTGTAATACATACGTCGACTTGCAAAGTTCTATGTAGTCAAGGAGGTTTAGAAGCAGATCGTAAAATATCCATCCTATTTTTATGCCCTAACTTTATAGAAATTACAATTCCAACCCTGGTGGAAATCTCAAAAATAAAAAATCAATTTAAATCATGATTATTTTCCCCGTTGTTCATATTCATTATTTTGGCTTATTAATGTGCAGTTGAATTGTCTATTTTTAGCGTCCGGTATATAATGTCTAATTTCGTGTGACATAGAAGGCAGGCCGAATAACTTGCCATCAACGATTATCAAATTCCACACTTAGCGTTGATAAAGTCGTTTTTATGAAGTAAGAGCTTTTAATTTCATATAAAACAACATCTTTCTGGATTCGTATACCCTTTAAAGCTGATTTGACTAGACCAAGATATTTTTTTCAAGGAAGTCTTAAAAGAAGTTTCGAACCGACATTTGATAAAAAAAAAAGGAAATATGTATTCAATGAGACTTTCAGCAACTTGGAAATCTGTTCCCAAAATCGCGAGTGCCAGTTCGAAGAGATATTTGCAAGGACCACCGGGTGGATTCAAGAGACCATCACCGCCTCCGCTCAGCAAAGAAGAACAAGAAGAATGGAATCATTTACAAAAGGAATCTAGTCAGCGACCCGTTGATGTAGCTCAACGCACGAAGCTTAAAGATTTTGAAGGGGACGTGAATCCTGAGGTAAGATACCCATAGCAAAGGGAAAAAGAATTTTAGTGAGCTTCAACAGAAATTGTATATTAACAAAAGTAGACAGGAGAAGTTGGAGGACCGAAGAAAGAGCCGACGATTCATGGCGATTATTCGTATGGAGGAAGAGTTACGGACTTCTAATGAAGTGTTTATGAAGCGGCATTTTCAAAGCCATTATGAATTGCGCTTATGTATAAAAATAATAATGAACCTAAGTTTGAAAGCTGGAAGGAGAGTTATGGTGATAAAAAAAGACAGTAAAATGGATAAAGCAGTATATTATCAGGAAACAGGTTTGACCTTTTTTATTACAAGAGGGAAAGAAATTGTAAAATAATAGATAGAACATAGACACTCGTACACTTTGCCAAAGTAAAAGGAGGGACGTTTGGTCACTAATAGTACTCAAATGCTATTCAACGTCGCCTTTTTTTCTGACATGACAAACAGTTTATTATGAGGTATAGCGAAATATTAACAGAAACTATGCTAATCCGCCATATGTGATTATAAACAAAAAAGCAATTTTTTAAAAGATGAAGAAGGAGGACAGAAAATGAAAGTCCCCTGTTTGATCAAATAATATTTAGAAAATATATTAACAACAATGTAAATAATAATGCTTCTGTTGATTCGTAGTTTCTTTACTGAATTCTCTCTTTCATGACATGCAATAAGTAAAGTAACACATGAAGAGTGAGTAAGGTTCTTTTTGGTACCGAATTTATTAAAAGATATTATTTGAGTACGAATGGATACTTATTTGATAGCGAAAGCCTCATCAAATAGGTGAATCAGCTTTGTTTATGAAAGTGTAAACAAACGCGAAATCGAAAGTTGTTACTTGCATTTGTGACCTTACATTTGAGCAAGTGATGCGAAATTTCTTGCTAGAGTCAACTTTTCATTTCTTCAATACCTGCCAATTGGGCTGATTTTGATTGAAATAGTTAGGAATAAATGCCTTAGGTTGACTGTTGTTTCTACTGGGTTTCGCATCCGGGACGGTATTATTAAATTTTTGACTCTGCAGCAATTGGATTACTGAATATTTTGTGCATTTCCTTTGAATGTGTTGGAAAGGAATTGAAATCTAGTTCAAGAGAGCCTTCTCCAAAAAAATCCTTAATGTCTGAATCCGGCGGTTTCGGTATTCCATTGAACAGTTACATACATAATAAGGGTACATCTTTTCGTTTGTTTTTGTTTTCCCGTAAATGTTTGCATCATTTTGAGGCTGTATAAAAAGTTTTAATAATATTAGTCACAACTGAAAACTGTCCGTTATATCTTTTTAGACTTCCATATAATTTACATTTGGGTAGTCCCTATTTATTTATCGTCACCTTTGGGGTAACATCCTACAGCAAGTGTGGTAGAATTTGTACATCTCTTCCAAGTCAATTGAGAAAGTAATAAAAATACAGCCAAATACTAAAAAAAAGAAACTTTAGTTGATCCTGCAGCCCCTAAATTGAAACAATGCGAAAAGGAACCTTGCTACTTGTCATCGTTACTCCAGTCTTGACCGAAAAGTTGCGTAAGCGATGCGAAATTTTTTAGTAACTTTTGGACTCAACATTATTTATTCTCTTCATTCCTTACTTTTTTTTATTTGTAATTGAAGGTTTTATGAAATTCTCTGAAAATTGAGCTTTGTCTGAGCCAATTTCATTTCCATTTTGCCTTTTCTTTTTTGCGATTGTGAGCATTTGTAGAATTTTTTCTTCATTACGGATCAATAGCTTTTTTCACTCTGATTTGCAAAGTCAATTATATTTAGAAATGGCCGAAGAGAAGATGAAATTGGATTCAAGCGATCCTCCTGCGCACAATCAATCGAATGTTTACAATGTTGATTTAGAGAAGGGTCTTTGTTTGGATACACAACAGGACATCAACAAATCGTCCTATCCATCTTCCTTCAATTCTAACAATAGCAAGAAAACGATCGTGAATAGATTCCAAAACAGCTTGATAAAGAAAAGCTATGATGAAGCGTTAAAACAATTATCCCACCGCTTTCCTGATAATCTTGTCTTGAAAAATCGAAACTACCGTGAACCGTTAACATCATTCTTCTCGTTGATGTGTACATTAGCAATTTCATACATTCTCAAACTTCTTTCTTGGCTGAAACAAGTATATTTGGAAGCTGGTTGCAGTTGGGCCCTTTTTGGACCTATAGGCCTTATGTTTATGTTATTCGCAATCCTAAATGGTTGTTTCTTTAGTAAGTGAAGCATTTTTGATAAAAAAGGAGGGAAGATGCCGTTATGTTTGCTAACAAAAATTAGACTTTCCTTTACTCACTGTCAGAATAACAAGAACTTTTGCACACGTTATAATAGGTGTTTCAGTCGTAATTGCAGTCTTAGTTGGATGTGTCGGAGCTGCTGGAGTTTCTGTTGTTAGTCTTGTGTGCTGGGGATTTTATAACATTCTTGTTTTTGGCCTTGGACTGAAACTTGAGCGCTCAGCTGAAAACATTGGCTCGCCTACGCTGCCCAGACATCAACAAAGGGACGACACAGTGGCACCTCTGTCGACGACGACCAGGAATGAAGAAATCGAGCGTCAGAACAATCCTACCACTCAAAGTTAACACTACGTTGTTTACCTTTCTTATTATTATTACTGTTATTAAAAATCGCAATTGAATACGATTATTTCATTTCTTTTCATTGAACTTGTAATTAGTCTTTTGTCACTTAGAAGCAATAGTAGTAGACGTATAAAATAGAAAAACAAAA